GATCATGACCTGAGCTGAAGGCAGACGCTTAATGACTAAGCCACCCAGGCGCCCCTGATCTTAATTTCCTAACATTTTTAGGGGACTTTATCATTTTTTAAAGTGCTTTCAACCCCTTTTTAATTAGGCCCCCCAATAAACCCAAATGAGGGCAGGAAGGAGATCTGTTTTATAGATGAGAGTGCTGAGGCTCAAAGAGTTAAGGGACTTGCCAGAGGTCACAGGCCAAATATGTGCTTTATGTGCTGGAAGCACTAATTTGAATTCTCATCTTCCAACTTGTGGGTTGACCGCCAAGTGAATCCCCTCAAGTGCTCTGAAGGAAGACTAGCTCAATGCCAGGGAATGCACAGTCCCCATCAGAACCAGTGCACAGGACTCCTCCACGGGCAGGCCCAGAAAGGCTGCAGCTGCTGAAAACTGAGAGGCAATTTTCTCCATACCTCCAGCGTCTTCTTCAGTGTGGAGATGTTCTCACTGCACACTTCCACGTTGTTCAGGGTCACCTGGGAGATGAGGACAGAAGAATGTGACTTCCTGCTCACTGGTGTCTGTATCCACTTCAGTGCAGGCTGGCTGACTGGCTGACAGCTGTACTCCTGAGGCTCAGAGCGGGGCTAAGGAACATGCACAGCAATGTCATCTAGAAGGGCGCTAAGGTCTCAGACTGGGCAGAATGGTGAACCAGACTTGCCCTTTCTCCTGTGCCTGACACTAAGGCAGCAAAGCCATCTGACCTCAGGGGTAGTGACCCAAGGTTTCAGGTCTTTTTGTTCCATGTTTAGGCACACAGGTCTGGGAGAAGTCCTGGGCTCTAAGCCCAGATCAGTGAGGCGAAGGCTGACATTTATTTAAGAAATGCTTCCTGGGGTGCCTGGGTGGCTCAGTCATTTAAGCGTCTGCCTTTGGCTCAGGTCATGATCCCAGGGTCCTGGGATCGAGCCCCATGTCTGGCTCCTTGCTCAGTGGGGAATCTGCTTCCTCCTAAGCCCCTCCCCCTGCTCATGCTCTCTCTCTCAAATAAATAAATGCTCTCTCAAATAAATAAATATAATCTTTTTTTTTTTTTAAAGATTTTATTTATTTATTTGAGA